AGTATAGTGGAGCCTTCTCCAGTAATAAACTTGCTTGCTAGGATCAGATCCTTTTACTCCCTGGTACTCCTGTTCTACATTTATTTAATCCATTTATGTAAACCTAGCGATTTTTGGAGCTTTTATGGCAACAGTTATCATGGATGTGAAGTATTTCACACATCGTGGTGAACACTATGAAAATATTTTATTTAATTAATTACTGCAATAAGAAGGGTTACAACTAAACGTTACACACAGACTTTACGTGAAGTATTAAATGCAAGGGTACTGGTACAATCTTTTTAGTTTAGGTATTCCCATATTACATGCTGTTAAGGTGATGTCCATTCCATTGACACAATCCTCACAGAGTAGTGAAAGCTCCAAGTACTGGGAAAATACTCACCAAGGAATGTTATGCTCCTCCAAAAGATAATGAATACTGTTCCAACATATATAGGTTTAATTTATTTGACTTCTAAAACAAGAGTAAAAGAACAAAAACCATGAATCCCCTTTCTCCCTCCTCCATTCTGTTGGTTTCTAAAAGTAAGCCATGGAATGAGAAAAGTTGACATTTAGCAGAACTTTTATCAATATTCCCATGCATAAACTCTATTCTAGTCTTAATCAGTATGGAACACAGAACCAGACAGAAAATTATTTCTCCTCACATTAAATCTCTCTCAGAAAACAACAATGTTCCACTATGAAAATTGTAGCTAGTACAGTTATTCAGATTTTCATTGAAGAAATATTTTAATAAAAGAAGAACCTATGTAATTACAACAGCCAGAACTTTCAAATGTAGTTTAAATGACTTTTTAATTTAAAACACTGCACAATTTTCCCCTAGCATGACTAGTACAGAGTTTTGCACTTTATTAAGGGATTTTTAAGCATCACTGTTGCTACAAGTTTGTTTTTTTTTTTTAAAAAGTAATTTCCAGAGCCAATTAAACCATGGAAAAATTTATCCCAAGAAATCATTATGACACATTCTTTAGTTCTGGATTTTTTTTTTTTTAATTTTTAAAATCAGCCTTTAAGATTCCGAAAATTTTGCCTTAGGGAACTAGAATCCGGGCATCTTACTCTCATTCAAAGATTATCAACTCAGAAAGTCTTGATGTTATAACACTGATCCTGGTAGTAAATACATCTCTGCAAGTTTTCTCCACAGCTACTAGCCTCAAGAATAATCTTTTCTAGAAATACTAGAAAACAAAAAACAAGTAACAAGAAGATATATACAGGCAGCTATTTTAATAGTAGTAGTTGTAGATAATGAAAAAATAGTCATTGCCGTGACATAAATAATAACACCAGGTTCCAAAAGAATGTATAATCTAACATGCTATCTCTCCAAATTACTCAAATGTTTAATTTTACATCATCAATAGCCTTAAGTACGTAAGCAGGTCTATTCATATAAAAAAACGTGGATAAATGCTTGCAGGACTAGGACCTGTCAAGATTACATACAGAAAGAAAAGACATGAGAAGAGCAGATTTTAATGTTTTATATTTCTTCTCCTCACTTTTTTTTCTCTTTTACCTGTTAGTCTTTGCTTAGTAGTTGAATGTACATATTCAGCTTTTAGGTTGCTGGCTTGCCTGTGGTCCTTACCACCATTTACCACCTGTTTCAATTTTTGACCTTTTTTTTTTTTTTTTAATCATCAAACCAATATTCAGGACAAGATACAATTTCAACCTGTGCCCCTTCACTCCAGCCAAGTTGACTAAGCAACACAGGCATAGATAAAAACAGAGCATGCTGGAATACACGTTTTTATGGTGTACAGGAACAATGAAAAGCGTTCAAAGGTCAGGCAACAACTCCGACAACCCCTATTATGGCTATATATGGAAATTAGTCCTCAAGTAATCATACAGAGTATCAGGTGTTACTACAGCAACCATGCATATGATAAGCCATAAGCACACCTTGATATTACATGAAACTACTTACTACAGTTCAGAGGACCTCCATGCACCATCTGGGCTGCATTTCCTCTGACCACCGTATCAGCCTGTATAATGTTCATATTTCACAGTTCATGAAGGCATCAGGGAATACATATGTGCATTTAAATGGCTTAGTATAATCACTTGTGTCTACCTGCAAGAGAGCTGAGATTTAACTGCAGTCACGCTAACCACACGGGGGAACATCTCACATACATCCACAGAGTGGATGAGCCCCAGGAAGAACAGTAATTCTACCTCAGAATTAAACAACAACAGAGGGAATAAAAGTACAATTAACATGCTCTTGTGCTCTGGGACCTGCTGGTCCGAGGCAAAGTCACTCAGTCTCTTAAAATAAGTACCTTGACCTGCAGAGGCGTGTGGTAAAGCAGCAACGAAAGCCAAAGAAGAGAGAGGCCTGGGTGTGGAAGAATCATGCAACTATAAAGTGAGAGGACTGCCCAAGTGAGGGCAGAGGGAGGGAAAAAAAAATAATGTGAGCTTCAGCAGAAATCTTGGTGCTGCCACATACACCAGATTTGATACTTAGCTCTACCTATCTGCATGAATTTCTCCCTGAGTTCTGTCTGCAAGCTGCGAGCTCTGCACACCTAAGACTCATTTCACCAATACGAATTTTGCATTGGAAGTGAAAATACACAATGGTTTCCAGGCACACTATTTTCATTAGTAGTGAGTCACACTCTCCAGCTGGATGATAATATACCAGCTCCTCCTCCTGAGGGTCAAGAGACATAAAAGCATAAAATAATGGGATAAGGAAGAAACAAGGAGATGGAATTAAGAGTTTATTGAGCTGCTTATCGTGTGTTCAAGAAAAGCAAGGAACAAAGTCAGGTGTTTCACTTGGTGTTTCTTTGGAGGGTTTGGGGAGTGCTAGGTTTGTGAATGCCCATGAAAATGTTTTTACGGGGAGCATCTAGTAGACTTCTTGCACCTTTCTTAGTCTCATTGTTGTCTCAGGCTTAGAGGTTTACACTCAGAAAGTTGTTTTCACAATATATAATATTTTTAATTGAAATTGTGTAGAAAATTTTGTGTTCAAAATAACACTGATACCAAAACCCAAACATACTTCATCTTTCTGGACCATTAAAGTTCTACTTAACAAAACATGTAAAGCTACATGGTTTCTGCTTTCTCTCTAGGAATGACTCTTGAAAGGCTAATATTTTATAAAGTCAGCTGGTAGAAAACATTGCAATATGTGTTGAAAAACAAACTAAGATAAAACCCACTTATGTTTTGTAAAGTTTCTCGAAGTATTCCAGGTCCTTCCCATGTTAGCAACCTTTGAAAGGTCAGCAGAATTTTTAATGAAACGGCATGCATATATTTTGCAGGACAAAAATAACCATCTACAAATGAAAAATTAGTAATAGGTTCCCTGAAAGCATCCATCTGAAATGAATCAGTAATTGAAATACACACATGCACCCACTTCGTGGACTGTTTTACATGCAAGAGACACTGCCCTAGCACAGTGGAAACAGGCAACAGAATTAGAAGCCTCTGAGAGGATTTTATTTCAGCCCAGAAACCATGCTAAGACAAAGTTCATCAACAAATGCTGAAAGAGCTATACCCCCAATTAGAAAAAACAAAGCTCAGACTTCAATTTCCCCGCACATACTCTCCCTACTATTCCTATCTATACGTAAGCCCCCTTATTTTATCCTTTTATACTCTGAAGTCTTGCTGACTTGCTACATGGGTAGGGCCCACAGGCGCAGGTCATAAGCTCACGTTCACCAGCACATCCCAGGACCGCTACTAAAACACACCTTCCTCTCCGGAGGAGTGTAACTCCACACACTGTAGAGATCTCCACTGATGCTTAAGTAGCCTTTCGGGTGTTTTCTCAAAACCTTTCGTACTTTATGCATTTAAACACGCTCACTCCCTCAAAGGAACATAAACAGAAAGCAACATACGCTAAAAGTAAAAAAAATTAAAATAATAACAGCAGCAATATTTTAAATATTGTTTAAGTACGCTCCTCACCGCTACCTACAGGGGGGAGCGTTCAGCCGG